ACCTTGCTTCCAAGGGCCGTAAGCAGACACCTTCAACTATGTTAAAGCGTCTTTGAGACATTTAGAAAAGCGCTATATAAAACCAATTATTATTATTATTACCTAGGAAGTCCTTGACTTTGGGTTTGACTGTTCGACATTTAACAGGATCATCACGCATTGTGTCACTGCTTAACAAAATGGGACATTGTGCATCATGGGGCACAGTTTTGAGTCTAGACACTAGCCTTGCCCAACTGACACTAGAAGAAGGTGGAGACAAAATACCAAAGGGATTCTCAAAGAGGGCACCCACAACACTTGTATGGGATAACATTGACTTTGGGGAGGAGACTCTTATCAGGTCGTGGAACTACTCACCATACCAATGGAATCATGCTCCAGAGTTTGACCATCGAGCCTATGTCCACAGCAATCAGACAGCCACTAAGGAAGGGAGTTTCCTCATTCAAAGCCCCCCCCCCCCCAAAATGCCTATAGAACCGTACCATCAGTCCAAAAGGCAAGGGCCACAGAACTTGGCCAAGTGCAGGCAGCAACATGCAGAATGGACACCCACTTTGCTGCACAAGCTGAATTGGCATATGTCTTTGTGAAGTCCACAGATACGGATAGATGTGCAGCTGGACAGCTGGACAGGTTTCCATACACTGCTTCAAGGTGAAAATACTCTGCAGAAGTCAGCATTGTATTATCTTCCAGTAATTGAGGCCTTACCAACAGAGATGTCAACAGTGAACACTATCCTGAAGCGAAGTGTCCAGATGGCTGATCAGCTAGAACTGGATCATATAGTTTTAGTGTTTGACCAGGCTATATATGCCAAGGCACAGCAAATACGCTGGAAGAATGATGACTTTACACAACGTTTACTGATTAGATTAGGCGAATTCCACACATGCATGTCCTACCTGAGTATTTTAGGCAAAAGGTTTGGAGATGCAGGACTGCAAGACATCCTCATTGAATCAGAAGTTGTTGCCCCAGGATCCATCAATGGGGTAATAAATGGTCATCACCACAATCGCAGCATGAGGGCTCATAAACTTGAGATGAGAATGAGAGTCTGCAGCGCATCAGGTTCATCAGCTTCTTAGACTCCTTGCCACCACAAGAGAGAGCTGTGTGCATGGATGTCATCACTGACATGAAATGTGTCTTTCCAGACGGATTGATGGATGTTTTGAGTGCAGATGAAAGGTTTGATGGTATGAGTTCCAAATATGCTAACTTTGTGCAGAGGAAAAGTACAGAGAATGCAACATTTGCTTTCTGAAGCTCATACATTGACATGATGCAGCTACTCCTCCTGTTTGTGAGAGCAACGCGAGAGTCAAACTGGCAACTTCACCTGTCAATAGTCCGATTAATGATGCCATGTTTTTTTGCCTACGATCGAGTAAACTATGCTCGATATTTACCTGTGTACTGGCTGGAAATGGTGAATTTGCCCATCACACATCCCTCTTGCAACAGTGAGATGAATGTGAAAGGCCAGTGGACTGTCCAGCGACAAAGTGTTGATAGATTTGCCTCCATTGCTTGCGACCAGGCTATTGAGCAAACCCTTAAACAGAGATGCCAAGACAAAAGGTGGTTGACAGGGATCACACAAAATCGGTCTGCTGTGTATCGCTGGATATTGTCACAGCATGAAAGAGCCACTACAGCAAGACAGTGTGAATCGATGGCAGGGATATCACCTGAGCTGAGGACTCGAAAAGACCTTGACAACACACGCATCGATGCTGATGAAAATGCTGTGAGCAGAATCATTTCCACCATTGATTCCATGCTCAACCCTTTTGATGTGTACCAAGACGTCATTGTGTGTCTTAGCTCTAGAAGACTATCAACAGCAGAAATCATGAATGATTTGCTTGTTGCCTTAGAAAAGGGTGAAAATGCTGTAAAAGAATTTATGGACCAGAGACTGTTATCAAATTCAGTTGACATATTTGCCCCCATAATATTACAAAAACTCAAGACCTTCAATGATCAGGTTAAGTCCAAAAAAAATCTGCAGCAGGCAAGGAAGTGATTTTGCGTGCTGACAAAAATTTGTTTTCCAGGCTCCTCATCCTTGGTCAGAGCAGAAAAATTTAAATGAGGGAAATTCTGTCATATTCCTTGGGAACTGTGTCCTATCCATTAGCAAGTGCTGATGGTTTACTTGCCAAAACAAATAAATCAGCTCTCATGGACCTATTAGAGAAAAAAGGTGGAGACTGCTTGGTTGACCAAGTTCCAGTGGATGGTGCCATTCTTTTTGATGGCATGGCAGTCATGCAGGCCATGCGATCCAGACCAGATACATTTGGAGAGCTTGCAGAGACCATACTGCAGAACATACTCCAACTCGCTTTGCAGCACAAGTGTACACGCATTGACTTTGTCACTGACCAGTATCCACTCATCAGTATCAAAAACATAGAACGGTCACGTAGAGCTGATGCAGGGTCACAACGCATGCAAATCTTTGGCCCAAATGAGAAGGATGGAAAAAGTTTCTCTCAGAAGCAACAAATAAGGAAGCACTTGCCGAATTCCTGTATGTTTCATGGAAAAATGCAGACCTTACAGCAGTGGGCAAAAACCTCTGCTTGTACATAGCACATACAAATCAATGTCACTGTGTGACTGTTAAGGAGGGTGTACAGTCTGTTCGTGTTGTTGAAGACGGAATTCACACATTCTCTGGGTGTGACTCCACAATTGCCTTTTATGGCAAAGGAAAAAGAAACACATTTTCTGTTGCATGTGAGAAAGGTGAGTACCTAAAGGCTTTTAAAAGTTTAGGTACTAACTTTAACTTGGAGCAGTCAACATTTGCACTTCTTTGCCAGTATGTATGCCACTTATATGATCAGCCAGCTGCCGATAACGTAAATGAAGCTAGGTACAAGGCTTTCTGTATGGCATCATCAGCCTTGCCAGAATTATGCATTCCTCCTACAACTGATGCCCTCCATCAGCACTGCAAAAGGGCAAACTACCATGCTGCAATAATGAGGTCCTGTCTCAAACAAAACATAAGTGCTCCATCACCTGCTGGATATGGTTGGAAAATAGAGGATGGGACCTTGCACATCACCTGGATGACCAGAAATCTGGCCCCTGACAGTGTTTTGCATGTTATACACTGCGGCTGCAAAGGTGCCTGTGAGACAGGCAGATGTTCCTGTTTTTCTGCAGGATTGTGTTGCACAGACTTATGTCGTTGCTGTAGTTGTGCCAACACAAAAGAAACTGAGGAACTGGAAGATAACTGTCCTGACACTGACAGTGAGGACTGAGTGTCCTTATTCTGTTATTTAGTTTTGTACAGTTTTATATATCATATTTCATATTTTTGATAAAGATTGTTTTATGGTTCATCAGTGTTGTTTTGAATGAACGAACAAATGGTCATTGGTATAAGTACAATTACTGCCTTTTAGTGATACAAGGAAGGTTTATTTGTCACATACATAGAAGCACTTTTCTGTGCGAGTGTGAAGAAAGAAAGATCAAGAAATATTTGTCATAAATAGCAAAAGGAAGTATAAAGTGCAGTGTGTGTACAGTCCATGTGCAATTGTGAAAAAAAGTGTAATTGCTGTATATATAGTCATTGTGTGTGTTCAGGATACGGAATGCTTGAGGAAAGAAGCTCCTCCTCAGTCTCTCTGTTCTGGTCTTGTAGCAGCAGAGACGTTTGCCTGACCTCAGTGTTTTGAAAAGTCCATGGTCAGGATGTTAGGAGTCCTTTACAATATATTGGGCCCTGGTACGTAGTCTTCTCTTGTAGGTCTCCTGCAGAATAGGGAGAGGTGCTCTGATGATGTGGCACTGCAGTCACAGGCTGTACAGTTCCCATACCAAGTGATGATGCTGTCAGGACACACAGCCGATGGGTGCTGATGCTCTGAACTTCCTCAGCTGACGTAGGAAGTACAGTCTTTGCCTTGATTTCTTCAGTGTGTGCTGGGTGTTCACAGTCCATGTTAGATCGTCAGTAAGGTGTATTCCCAGGTATGTCAAACTTGATCTAAATGACTAATAAGCATAACATTATCGTATCATTGTTCTTATTGGACGCGGCTATGTATACAGCACTATTTAGAATCCATTTAGCCCACTTTTGAGGATGTTCGGGTGTTTTCCTCTTTATCGGTAACGTTGAATCTAACCGCGGGAGCTGCCATCTTGCCATTCTGTTGACAAAAAGCAGCTACCTCATTGGTGTAGAACGATCACGTGTCGAAAAGTGCCAGCACTCGCGACCAAGATCCTATTACGCTCTGAAGAAACTAGTTCGGCATAAAACATAGACGCACCAAAAATTGACTGGAAAGTGAGCGACAAACTTTTTTTTGGTAGCTAAGAACAACTCGTTCTTTTTTACAAACTAAATATTGTGTAGATGCACGCCTGTGGAGCGTGATTCATTTTCTAAAGGACTTTTCGTGCTTCACATTGCGGCCTAAAAACACCAGCATCATCCAATCGGGGGAGGGAGGGTCTCTCATAAATACAGTGGGGATTCCCTTGATTTCAATTTGACGTCAAGACAGAGTTTCGTTTTCGGTTGGACGTCCACGTCAGGTGCAGACCATCTCACGGGCCCCCTCGTTCTGCAAGGGCGTTGTACCCGCAGCTTTGTAGGTGAGTTGCGTGTTACTCCGGGTTTTATTGTAATATGAGAGAGCCATGTTTACGCTGCCATTTTGGCTTTTTGACTAGTGTAAGGTGGCCGCCTCTGTACTCCTCAGTTGGGGGAAGGTGGGGGCCTGGGGAGCCAGCACCTACCAACAACAGACAGTCCAATTCTTTCAGTGGAGGCGGATGGATTTCCCTTTTTCACTATACCTCTCAGGTCACCCGTCGGGGTACAGAGGTCTGGGTGGGTGGGTTGTGTGGATTGAGTAGGAGATGGATAGTAACACTGAACAACAAGACAAATGCACATATGGGTGAAACAAGAACAAAGACAGCACATCAATGCTTGACCACAAACCAATCCTTAAGGTTTTACTAGAAGGTTTTGTACATCTTTTGTGCGGGTATGTCTGGTGGCAGAGCATTCCACAAGTGCCTTCACAGAGAATGCAGATTTTCTAAACAATTTTAAACTATGTGAAATAACACAATCATCTTTTGAAGCAGATCTATTGAGTCTGCTGCTTTGACTGCTTTGTTTGATAAAATCGCGAAGCGGAGGCGGGGCCATACCCCCCCATGTAACATTTTTAAAACCAGACATGCATGAGTGAATTTAATTATGTTCTTCCAACTCAGGACATTATGTTTGAGGATATTGCAGTGATGGTGACTTTTGTTTTATTAAGTGTTTTTAGGGTTTGTTTATGGAGAATGTGAATATAGTTTAATGTTATGCTGCTGGCTTGTGCCCAGCTGGTTAAGCATTAGATCAGATGGGGGACCATCATTCCATTAAAATAACATTTTGCAGCCTGCATGGTTAAACAATGTTTTATAAATCTAAAATTCCAGAGATTAGATTTCCAGACCTTTGTCAAATGTTTTACATGAATTTTTAGATTAGAATCAATAATAATATGTAATGCCTAAATATTTTATTTAAAACACTACATTTAGCCTTTCACCAGCAACGTAAACATCTAGCTATAGTGACACTTTGCAAGAGTATCCCCCACTCTGACACACCAGGTTCTTCGCTTTTCTTCAATACTTCGCCTTGCCACACTGGACCATCTCAAATGCAGTTTGATTTGAATTGGGGGATGCCCATACTTATGTCTGTTCCCTAAGAATGACCATGTTTTTGCATCCGTGTGCCAGTTTTGCATCCATTTGTTTAACCTTTTACCATTTTATTTTCTTGGGAGAGAGGGTTTGATGAAGAATAAGTCTTGATAAGTAAGTCTTCTCTCGAGAAGACGCTTCAACAGACAACGTAAGGACATTTGTGGGAATACAATTTCACCTGGACCACTAAGCCTTTTCACTGCGCCAGAATTCCATTCCTCCTACCACATATCAAGCCCATGCCTTGAGACCCAATGCTGTTGAACCAATCAAAATGGCTAACCGTACTGCTGCATTGAAGACCTGGGTGAACATGGCCATTCTTGCCTAGAGACCTAATGCTGTTAAACCATCCGGAATGGATAATCCCAACCCCTCTTCATGCCTAGAAAAAAGGTGCTAGAATCCAATCCCCCAAACCCTAACTCTGCAATCACCCACTCCTTATCTCTGCCTTTTCACTCCACAACGACTGTCCTACACTACATCTGCCTTCGAAGATTACCTTCTAAAATAAGTGGCCAGCCTAACAAGAAATCAAGAACCCATCCCATTTCATTTGTGCGGTCAAAGTTTATGTGGCATGTAAAACTGACGTGCCCTGGCCTGTATCTTAACGTAAATATATGGAAATAAGATGTCACCCTAACAAATCAAAATTCATACAGTATATGAGGAAATGTGAAGCTTTATGAATTGCAATTAAAATTATTCAGTTATTCAGTTGTAATAATAGACATTATTCGGTTGTTTTTAAGTTGAAAACCTTAAATTTGTTGACATTTTAAGGCACACAATGAAAAAGCTTTAATATTTAATAAGAATCAACAGGGTTGAAGGTTTTCATGATGTATTTACATAATTTGAAGACATTCCTACATCTAAAAGCAATGCATTGTGAGTTGTTGTTTAGCATACAAGTGACAAAATATGCAAGTAGATTATTTCTATTTTGTACCAAAAACCATGTGATAGATGGCTATATATTTTAAATCTTAAAATCTTTGTAAAATATAAATGTATCCATTCAAATCTGTAATTGAAGCTGGTAATGAGCAAAAATTAAGAATACATTATCTTAATATAACATATCACACAGAAAGATATGGCAACCATTAAAACACTAACCATGGAGCAGCACATTCATGTGACTTCTATCTGTCTGTGTACTTAATCGTATAATAGGCTGACCGCTGATTCTACATACACACATAAAAAAAAACTCTGGTTGATTACAAAGCGAAATAATGGTTATTTTTGTTTACTTTTCCATCCATCGGCAAACCCACCGGGCGGAGTCGAAACCCAGGACCTTCTTGCTGTGAGGCGACAGTGGTAACCACCACACCACTGTGTCACCCCTTGTTTACTTTTGCTAAATGTTTTTTCTCAAATAGGGGACAATCTTTGGCAGATAAAATATGCTCATGTTAGAAGAGAATATAAAACGTTTTTGTAAATCAACCATACAATGAGATTGCATATGTGAACACATGTTGGGGGGGGCGGGGGGGGGGGGGGGGGTTGTTAAAGAAATAAGTGCATACATCAATGTATGCAATGTATGCATTTATTTCATTTATTTTCAACAAAAATACACATTTGTATATTGCAGTTAAACTTCATAAGAGGGGTTCTCTTGAAGAAAAAGAGAATTGCCGGTCTTCATGCTAGTCATTTTCTTTAATGGTACCACCTTTTCTGAGTCAGTTTGCACTATGTGAAGATGTGGATACATGCCAGAATAGAAAGACATGACACTCAATATTTTAAAGACCATTAGCTGCATGATTAAGTTAGGATATTAGGTCTCTGAAGTGAGAATGGTCATTATTTATTTTATGTATCTGTCTCTTTTCAGTATCTAAATATTATGTAATTGCAATATTACAATTGCAGTCCCCTCTAAAATATTAACGGTAAACCTGAAATGTGTAAATAAAATCACAAAATATAATTCAATGAAATTAAATATCTACAGGATTATGTTCAGCATATAAGTGACAGTATTAGTTACACTCCAGAGCCAGACTTTAGCAATGGCAACTATCAGTTATGACCATTATTTACCAGCAGGATTCCAGATGAGTTTAAGATCAAGAAAAAACATTTTGATTGAACCATCTTTTCCATCTCTTGCCAAATGAAGGTTATGAGCTTATTGGTCATTTAATCATAATCATTAGTCCATGTGTTGAGTTCAGTATCAGGTCTAATGGTTTGAGAGGAAAACACATGAGCTGTGCATTCCATCACAGCACTCAAGGACATAGCATGCACCTCGTATGAATATATTAGCTGACTGTTGTTTCAGCGGGCCCCTCCAACTGCAGAACATTAAAAGCAGCCAGCAAGTTGTTTTGGATTGTTAAAATGGTGAATATATGTTCCAGAATACAATGTTCCCTTAAGCCCACTAAATAGAAAGGCACCATTGATATTTTTCTGCACTGGAATATACGTCATTCGTTGCTACATACTAGTGTATGGCACTTTATCTACTTGACATGAACACATTTGTACATTTTTTTTTTATAAAACTTTATTTACTACATCACTAAAATAAAAGTTCCATCTATCTTTAAAAGTCTTTATAAAGCAAATTGTTTATAGAAAATAGGGTTTAGTAGTGACTTCATTTTTTCCGCCCTGAACATAAAGGATTCTCAGCATTTTCTTTTGACTTTACAAAGCAATTGGATCGTGTTTGGCGGTGGAACTGGATGACTTTTCTTGCGCGTCATTAGTTGGTGATGCTGGGTTAGTCCTGCTGCTGTCTATGACTTTGAGCAGCAGGGTCGTAGTGTGTTTCCTCTGACACTCCTCTTTTTCGTTCACTAGCATGTTGTCACCCACATTATGCTCATGGCCATTGGGGATTTTTTCGGGGCTGCTGTTGTTGATGTTGTTGTTTGTATTTTGCAGCTTCTCAGGTAATGCTGAGAACATATGGCTGCTAACCGTGTTGTCATATTCACCTATGTAGTAACCATTCTCCATTGTAAACAGTGGACTAGGTGGTAAGCTATGTGTCACATGGCCGTGGTTGTAGTGGGCAGAGGTCCTCTTCTGCTCATCTCTGCTCATAGACTTGCATGGCTGACATGTGTTGGACAACAGCAGGGGGCGCTCCTCCTCACCAGAGGGGCTTAAAGCCAGGGAAGGGACAGAGATTGCAAGGCTGGAAAGGGGGGCAGACATCTCTGATGGAGGAGATCCTGGAGTTGCAGGAGAGGTCTGGGATACAAGACACACCTGAGTCTTGGTTGTCATGGCAGGGACACACCTACAACAGAGTTACAATTACATTTTTTAACACATTTTCTAATATATATCTATGTTATATATATATATAGAGCTATACAGCGCCGCCCCCGACTCCGCCAGTTCCAGCCCCCCCGACGCTTGCTCTCGACACGCCCGATTCTGATCCCCCGACTTTTGACGCCGACAATTGCGTCTACCGAGACCTGTTGCCGTATCCCCCGCGCCCAGTTCCACAAAACCTGCCGCCGATGCCTCCGAACCCGGCTCCCATGTCGTCAGTGTCCGGTTCCTGTCCGCTAGCATGGCCGACCACGGATATTCACTGGGTGTCCGACTGCTGTCTTGGCCGCCTACCGGGAGATACCCGCCCCCACTGACCCACTCAGTGATGGTGTGCATCTGGGTTCTCCAATATACGACAGGGTGCCGGAAGTAGAACTCAAACGCAGACATTGCAAGTTCAAATAGTAGGCAATACAGATGGAGGAGGAAGGGGAGAACTAATTTAGTTAATCTTTTGCACACTAGGCTGTTTTACGTGCGCCAAAATGGCATGCCCATGATAAAAAAATTAATGTGGATTTACTTTGTCTATTTGGACATTTTTTTTCTTTCATGATAAAGTGGAGCCCCTGTGAGTGTTGCGATGTTATAAAAGCAGTTTATGTTACTGGTGAATGATATCAATATAACACACCCTGAATTTTGAGAATAGCTTGAAATAAAATCAGTAACACGAGATAGTAGCCTAAAACCCGATCTAAGCGCAGTGTTTCGACAGTAAACATGTAAAGTTTCAAGAGAGGCTGTAGTGCAGGCCTCGCGGCACAGAAAAGCAGGACTTGAAATTCGATTTTCGAATACCGGCTCTGGTTGGCCGACTTTTTTTTATCGTTTGATCCTATTGGATCTGCATAGAATGACGAGAAATGGAACTCCCATAGACACTCAGAAGCCAAAACGGTAAGAGCGTAATATGATACTCGACTGTGACGTCTGACTTCCCAAACCCTCGCCAACCCCTAAAACCTGCACAAAAGGCTCTGAAACTGAATGTGGTGTGCTTAGAAAGGATGAGGCTTGTATTGCAGTGGAATAAAATGGGATAAAATTCCAATTGAGATTGGCCACATTCATGATTCATACCCTGGGTTGGCTTAGGGGGACTTTTGCTTGTACTTCGGCATGGTTTGTCTAAGAGAAAACAGCCTCAAGGTGTAACAGGTTTTAATGTATGTAACGTTTTATTAATTACGCTTTTTTTGTGTGTTGCAAGTAAACCCTTATTACCCCACAATATCAATTCGTCATGAGATGACTGCTGAAGGGCTCTGATCAAATGTCTGTGTCTGAAGAGTTGGACTGATAACATTTTGGTTCCAGCCACCAAACATGGGACGGGGAAGTGCATCTGCTTAAAACAAAGTCAAATTTACCAAAAGTGCAAAATATGTTTTAAGTTATTCCTTACCTCTTACTTGGGATGTCGCTGAATGCGGTAGGTCCATGCACCATTAAAGCCTTTTTGCTTGTGGAGAGGTTAGTTTCAGTATTCCCCTCACCTCCATGCTGTAGAGTTGTCTCATTACAATGCTATAAAAATAGAAGCACAAACACATTGACAATTGACTTAATTGAACAGATTAAACAGGTTTTGACCATTTTTATTTGATAGCAACAAGTAACAGCATACATCGATGAGCTGCAAATCTTGAAGAGGCAAGTTAGAATCCTGACATCCTCTAGCTGAGTCCGTTAGGTTGGGGCCGATACCAGTATTGGTATTTTTGGTCCTCTTCTTTCTCAGGCTCTGCTTCAGGTGGTCATGGAGCTTTCTCCTCTGCTTTCTGTTTGTGAAGAAACACGAGACAGCAAAGTTTAAAATGCTGTTTAAAAAATACATTTACCCCAATTTCACATGTCCCAGTGCAACGCTAGACTGAATTAAAACATTTGAATATTTAAATTCGACTACTTGGCTGTGGAGTATATGTCTCAAAATGGTCACAAACGTTTTTTCATGATCTTCGAACAAGGTAATGTATGTAAGAGTAACTAAATTAATAATAATTAGTAACTAAATAAATAGTGTGACACAATTGTATATCTTACTTTTTGTTTGTAGATCATGTACTACGCAGTTGTCAGACTAATTTCACACATTACATTACATTACAGGTCATTTAGCTGACGCTTTTATCCAAAGCGACTTAGATTACACTATAAACCCATGGCTTTTACATTGTTGTTGCCCAGGGAGCAATTAGTGGTTAGGTGTCTTGCTCAGGGACACTTCGACTTGAGACATGGGGCAGCCGGGACTCGAACCACCAACCTTGCAGTTCCCAGTGGACCCGCTCTACCCCCTGCGCCATGACGACCCTTTACACCATACATGGCTACTCCCAAAAAAATTTGGGGTATTTTTTTTAAAGAATCTTCCCCATTGTAATGTTTTTTTATTCAAGTTTAAACCAAGACATCTGAGCATGAAGACTGACTAAGAAAATATTAGCGTATGCATCATAACAATATCTTTATCTAGTGGAATGATGACGATTTCAGTTTTTGTAAATGTCTGAAAATTTGTGATACTGTAAGTGCAGTCAGTCAGTTAATCACTCAATAACTCATTCACTTAAAAGTTGAGGTTGCGGAACTTTTGCTATTTCTGTTGTGACTCGTGTGGGATATTCTCCCTAACTTATTTTGAAAGACCGCTCATTTAGGATATTTAGGAACTTGAGGGACTATTGGGTAATAAAGGAAAATGGTTGAGTGTACCTTAAAGTCATTAATGAAATATGAAAATGTGACATGAATTACTTAGTTTTGCAGTAGGCAACCACACACATGATTCCAACGACTAGGAGTGCAATGCAGATTCCTGTTATTGTTAAAATGCGTTTCTGATACAGCTCCTCAGCTTCTGAAAAAGAGGACAATACAATTTTAAAACTTTAGGTGTAAAAAACAGACACATACATTAAGCCCATTCCAGCCATGAACTCACAATAAGAAAATACTATGCCAGGATGTTTTTACTCCAATCAACAGTCCAAAGGCTTCCATCTATTAGAAGTAATTTCAGTGTTCCCCCTACCATTATATCAGGTCCGCCCCTCTAAGAAAGTCTGGAATTTCCACGCACGGTAGTTCCACCCTGACACAGGGCGCACAGGGAAACATTGAATTTTCTTCTATAGACATGATTGAAGTCCAATCCAGACCCATTAGCAGTGCAGCCAATACACTGCCCTAGGTTTATGCAGATGCATTTGTATCCGTGTAGTAAACTAATAGGCAGCACACAAATGTAAAAAATATGTTTGTTGTCATTTAGAAACCATTGCTTCCTTTATATAATGGTGTAAATTATTAAGAAAACAAATTATAGGGGATCTTCATCAAAATGTTTCATTTTTATGTGTTGTATCATTGTGGTTGAATTAATTTCTAACTTTGTGCAGGAGCAATGCGAGGTAGTCCAAGACAGACAGGGTCGGCAACGGGGAATCAGTCTAAGAATTGTTGTTAGTAAGGTCTGGCATAAATACAGAGAATGATGTGGCAGTGAGTGAGCTATTGTGGTTTAAATACTGAAGGGAGTGAGTAGGGTAGATAGTGAGATTGAGCGGATGAGGTGGAGGTGACTACCAAGTGCACTGAATTAACAGATTGGGTGAGTGAGAGGCGGGAAAGACAGAGTTGTAGAGACAGAGCTGTGAAAGTCATGAAGGCTATTTAAGCAGATCCGCACCTTTCTGTGCGTTACGTTTATCTTTGCTATGTTGTCAAATCAAAAGCTCAAATACACACTTTTTATGAATGAGTTTACATTTTTTAATGTTAATTTATCTCTGTTGGATCCCGTTTGTCACCAACTTTATTTTATCAGGTAAATATAGTTTATAGTTTTGTTTTTTACTAAATTGTATTCATCTTACTTGTGATTTTTCTGTAATGTTTGTATGGTTCAAATATTTGAAAAAAAAAGAAAAATATATATTTTTAAAAGGGGTATTTGCATATTACTTACGTGGTATTTTTAAATACACTTTCACAACACAAATGATGACAAATAATAAACTGCCTATCAGTGATGATATCAGTGTTTGCAGCATCATTTAAGAATACATTGCAATTCACTTTAACTAAATTTTGTTATTGAAAGACCACCATTTTGAGAAATGGATTGATTGCAGCATGGTGTTAATGTTCCAGATTTAGACAAAAGTAAATTGTCTTCTTTCTTTTGGCCAGTTGATATTATACACTCAATTTCTTGTACACAATTGAACAGACATAACATGACTCTAAACCTGTGATGAAGAGCGAGAACTTGGAAACGTCTTCTGACCACTAAAAGCACTATACAGTACAACATTCACTCAAACAAACACATTCATATGCTGATGGTAAAGGGAGCCATGCAATGTGCCATCTGCCCATCAGTAATCTATTTCACCCATCCATCGTTTAGTATTCTGCCATTTTGAATGGGGAATAGGAATAAGGAACAGTTGTATTGAAGTGCTAATATTCCAATTTGATAATGATCGAAATTACCTTTGAGCCACAGCCGCCTCTCATCAGTTCATACTATTTCAGTTGCTTTAAGCATTTAATTATAACCCTGGGCACTGATCCTGGGCAAGATTTGGTATTTGACGAGCTGGGAGTGAGACCATGTTGTGGGAACAGGAAGGCAGATGGAAGGATATGGGTAAAGTTAGAAGGATAGTGATGCTACTCTATTGTGTCATGCTGAACACTGGCAACAGAAGATGCAGGAATGGATAGCTGAAGGAGTGTGAAAGTGCAGTGTTAGAAATACACAGGCTCTTTGGCTTTTATTATTTAGCATTATTCAGCAGCATTTGGACTGTTTACCAGAATCAAGACACGGGGGACTTGTGATGTCAAATTGATAGCATCACAATGCTTTGTCTTAAATGATGTTGCTGTAATTTAATTTTTATTTGTGCTAATGGTCAAGGCTGTATGATCCATTCACCTGGCAAGAGGAAAATAGAAAGTAGACGGTATTAGCTTGCCGTTTTATACCTACAAACTAGGAGGAAGGAGTAATCCATACCCATATATTCAATCCCAAGATGTTCTGTCAGTGCAGAGGAGTGACAAAAAAAGAATATTTGATTTTTCAGATGAGATGGTGATAATTGTAGTTTTCACAGTAAAAAAAATAAAATCAGGCAGGTTTAGCGATGGATTCAGTCAGGACAAACACATTATGCACTTAAGACTTTATGTGAAGTTATATGAACATTAAGTATCTCAAATCTAGTCTAAAGCTACAGGAAATAATCAATATCTAAAAATCAACAGAAATGATTACAAACCTTTCTTAAAGACCAGTGTGGTATGTCTATTGCTATTAGATGCTAATAAATCAGGACGACAACTCCTCGTGGCGTATGTTGCTGTCAATCAATGTCAACCAACTCAATCATAATATACCAAACATCAAAAATGTAAACAACCCAATAAATGACAAAGCTTTCTAATTCACTGTGTCATTCCAAGTCAAAAGAGTTGATATTGGACAACTTCAATCATTTAGCATTTTGCATCCAATGCCAGCCTTCTCAATGGTTATCACATTATTGCATGTCAATTGCAGGAATCTACTTATTTTTAACCCAACCAGGATTGTAAACCAGACAGAATGTTTTTTGCCTAAACGCAGGACTAGATAACGAGTGGCAAGGAGTCTGATATGGCAAGACAGCCTTAAAACATATAAGAAGGTTCTCCGTAACGCATTAATCGAGAAAAATAAAAATAACTCCAGGTTTCTCTTCAGCACTGTAACCAGACTGACAGAGAGTCGCAGCTCTGTTGAGCCGTGTATTCCTTTGGACCTCACTAGTAACGACTTCATGAATTTATTCAATGATAAGATTCTGACTATCAAAGAGAAAATTGATGGTCTCCTGCCTTCAATCAGTGCCGACCTGTCCTCAGATGTAGGAATCCACCTTGATCAACAGACTTCTTTAATTTTGAAGTCTAAATCTTCTACTTGTCTCTTGGATCCGATTCCGACCAAGCTGCTTAAGGAAGTTTTTCCTTTAGTTAGCACGTCTTTATTAGATATTATGAATCTTTCTTGTTGACAGGACATGTACCCCAGTCCTTCAAGGTAGCTGTAATTAAACCTCTTCTTAAGAAACCTACTCTTGCTCCAGAGGTGTTGGCTAACTACAGACCTATCTCTAATCTTCCCTTCCTCTCTAAGATCCTTGAGAAATCCATCGCAAATCAACTATGTGACTTTCTACAAAACAATGCTTTGTTCGAGGATTTACAGTCAGGATTTTGAGTGCATCATAGCACAGAAACAGCACTGGTGAAAATTACGAATGATCCTCTACTTGCATCGGACCAAGGACTCTTTTCTTGTCTTGCTGGACCCCAGTGCCGCATTTGATACTATAGACCATTGTATTCTGTTGCAGAGACTAGAACATTTGATTGGTATCAAAGGAACTGCACTCAGCTGGTTTAAATCCTACGTATCGGATCAATCCCAGTTTGTGCTTGTAAACGGTGACTCCTCAAAGACCACCAATGTTGGTCACGGAGTCCCACAAGGTTCTGTACTTGGACCGATTTTATTTACCCTCTATATGCTTCCTCTGGGCGATCTTATCAGGAAACACCGCATAAACTTTCATTGTTATGCAGACGATATCCGTCGATCAAACCAGAAGAGACCGACCAGCTAGTTAGACTTCAAGAATGTCTTGGAGACATCAAAACTTGGATAACCGGCAACTTCCTGATGCTAAACTCAGAAAAAACAGAAGTTATCTTGATAGGCCCAGAGCGCCTTCGAAGCCAGCTGTTATGTGATACAGTTTTTATGGATGGAATTGCTCTGGTACCCAGCAGCACTGTCAGGAATCGGGGAGTTCTCTTCGACTAGAATATGACCTTCAACTCTCATATAAAGAAGACTTCAAGGACTGCCTTTTTTCATCTATGTAACATATCAAAAATCAGGAACTTCCTGTCTCAAAGTGATGCAGAAAAATTTGTTCATGCATTTGTCACTTCCAGACTGGATTACTGTAATTCTTTGTTATCAGGCTGCTCTTGTAAATCTCTTTAGCCTCTCCAGTTGATTTGGAATGCTGCAGCACGTGTATTAACAAGAACTAAGGAAAGGGATCATATTACTCCTGTATTAACTTCTCTGCACTGGCTCCCTGTTAAATCAAGAATAGATTTTAAGGTACTTCTCCTCACCTACAAAGCACTTGCTAGTGAGACACCGTCGTATCTTAAAGAGAGATTAATGCACATGACTAATTCAGCTTCTTTCCGGGAGTTTTTTTGTGCTTTCTCCCCTAGCTGGTCTCCGTAGATCATAGTTCCTTTTGGACCCTGGTCCTGACACCTGTCGTGGCCCTACTGACACCTGCTGCTGCCATAATCATCATTATTATTTGAAATATTGATAATATTACTGTAATCATAAACCAACATTACCCTCTCCTAAAATATTTTTTTGGAAATGTCGTCTTAAGTCCATGTCTCTCAAGAGCTTGCAGAAGCTCTTGAGAGTGGTTCTATCTGATGGTGGTTGTCCCTGCAGTGGTCCTGCTGTGCGCCTGGCTTACTACTCACAATTACTTGAATTATTTCTGTCATAGGAATTGAATGTATTAGTATGTCCATCCCGGGAGTGGGATCCCTCCTCTTACGTTCTCCCTAAGGTTTCTTCCTTTTTTTCCCTCTTGGAAGTTTTTTTTTCCGTTTTTTGGAGAGTTTTTCCTGTGCCGTTGTGAGGGTTTTGGGACAGAGGATGTCGTATGTGTACAGACTGTAAAGCCCTCTGAGGCTAATTTATATTTATATTTGCGATTTTGGGCTATACAAAATAAAATAAAATGAATTGAATAGAATTGATATAGATTTAGAATGAGAACGTGTTGCTCCGACATGAATATAGGTTGTGCTAGACGGTGAGATGAAAGTGAGCAGTATGTTGCCGCTTCACCTAAAATGCGTTTGACACGCCTGCCATACACTGTTGACACCCCATCACAATGCCTGCAGACTAACAACTGAAGTGACTAAAGTTGAGTGACATAATGTTAATATTTACTTTTATTTTCATACAGAAAGTCTTGTGTTTATTTGACACAGCATATCGCCCACCCACCTGGTGTGTAATGTAATGGTAGTATTTTATTGACATGCAGAGCAAAGTGATCATGTGCGTGTGATGTCAGAGAAGGACGTGTATAGTTGTATGCTAATGTTTAGCTAATAAAGTTAGCCATAGATACAACAGTCTCCTGAGCAGGGTGGGTGGGTAGGTGAGGTGGTGCGCAGATGGGGTTCTTAAAAATAGAACAATGTATTAAAAAATAAAAAAAAGTAGTTTTTGGTTGAATATCATCCAGAATGCAGCAGCTCGACTGGTCTTTAACCTTTTTTAATTCTCCCACACTACTCCACTCCTCCGCTCTCTTCACTGGCTACCGGTGGCTGCCTGCATCCAGTTCAAAACATTGGTGCTCACGTACCATGCTGTGAATGGGTCGGGTCCAGCTCACATCCAGGACATGGTCAAACCCGACATCCCGACCCGCACTCTCCGCTCTGCATTCTGCAAAACTGCTTTTCCCTCCCTCACTCATTTCTTACCGATAAGTTGGACTTGTAAATTTACTTTTTCTTCTGACTCAAAGCGCTTGTCATGTCATCTCTCACCCATTTACACCCATTCATACACTCAGGACAGTGACCATCAGGATAAACTGTCATTCATACCCAAGTATACTCACGTACCGCAGGCACAACAGCAGCAATTTGGCGTTAACTGTCTTCACCAAGGACAGACTGGCAGAGCCGATTTAGCAACCGACCCTCTGATTGAAGGTATAGCCTGCGCTACCACTGAGCCACGCCATGTGTGCATCTCTTCCTTTATGTAAAACAGAAGCACTATAAAGTCTTTGGGGTCTGGTTGAGTTGAAATAAGTAAATGTAAGTAATCACCGATGTAAAAGAGACAATTACTCAAATATTGTTTTCTACTTGGCCACCTGTTAATCAGAATGCAATTAACCTACTGATCTAAATTGAAAACTTGTTTGATCATTGCAAGGGTATAATTTCATCTAGTAGCAGTACACATTAGGTACATATTAAATGTAATAATAGCATGTTGCTGCTTAGTACTCTTCATTGATTTTGAACAGCCTTGATAGCAGCGTTTCTGTCATCTGTAGTGCTGTCCATTATTGCTATTATTACTCCTCGGTTCCACCGCACAGCTGTTTGACAACAGATTGACAACAACTTCACATCAGCTTGGCAACAACCTCAGTTCCACCTTTGGCGCTGTTTGGGTAATGGTTAATCCCCCTTCTGTGCTCATTTGTTGATTACTTTTTATTGCAAAAACAGCTGTGTTATGTCATGATGCCAGGCGAAGCAGAATACTCAAACTCAGCAAACATTGACAATTTAGAAAATTTCCTTTTAAAAATTGAAATCTACACACCTGTTTACTTGCATTTTGAAATGAACAAAACAAGCGAGGAACAAATTTAAACATGCAAAATGTTTTGGGATGCATAAATCACAGATATCCAGAACAAGTACACATCATAATAATTGTTAATTGCGCATGCTCCAATCCAAAAACAGATAGAATAGGAAAGAGACATACTGTAAAAGCTGGCCATTACATAGTTTTGGCAGCGATCCCCAGTAAATTCATTTGGACACCTAAGCAAGAAACAAAAGAAACAAGCAAGAAGAGAGAAGGAGTTAGTTTATACAAAGGCTGTGTAAAACCCACAACAGTCATCACTGGTGTTAAAGGAAAGGCCAGCTAACCAATCATCTCCGAACTTCATACAAAAGTGAATTGGATTGTGATCTCCAGTTTAAGGTGTGTATCTCATACAGATAAACCGTTCTATTTTGTCTTAGCAGCACACTAAAATTTGCATGTACTAATGTGGCCACTCAGGACAATTCTCGTATTGCCCGCAAATAAACCAATATAGGATTTGTCATGACCCCACCCAATCTCAACATAGACCAAGATGCATGGCGGTCATAGAGAATGGCAATTCTTATTTCGCACCAGTCAAATTCCGTCGCTTCGTCATTGCCACTTTGCATCAGATCAATGCGCTACAAACCCCTCAAGCATTATTTTTTTCAGTAGAGTATAGGCGCTCATTACATGCATAGTTTCCTTTCAAAATAGGCTTTTGTCTTGACAGGAAGTTGGGTTAAGGAAAACTAATCAGTTTGGGAGGATTAGGAAACAAGCGTGATTGACGTTAATTGTGTTTGTTTAAACCATCCACTACCACTTCCGCCAACCCAAAGCAGATGCTCACGCACTAAATAAGACATCACATATCATTGGAGTAAATTGAATACTCATACAGTCGCTAGAGTGGGCCACCGTACATTGCTCTCCGATGCCATTCTTAAAAAAGACCAAGAAAGGATTTAAGGAGAGTAAGAACTGTTTGGTACATAAGACATAGTTTTACTTGAAACATCAAAATCATGTGGGTGGTAAGCAATCTAACACTGGACAAGTGAATGAACATGTGGATGCAGGGGATACCTGTTATGAGAGTGGTCACTAGGGGGATGGGGAGGAGCTGAATGGAAAGAGCAGTATATAGTTTGAGATTCATTTAGACTAGACTATCTACTTAGATGATGGCAGTTTGCTACCCTAAACAATGTGAATAGGGTCTTATGAGATGGGAAGTACATGCAAATTTTAGTGCAGGAGAGTGTTTGAGATATTAGACCCATTTTGAGAGCTTCCTTTGAGCTCACAGAAATAGAACAGCTGTAACAATGCGTTCTTTATCATCAGATTTTCTTCGCTGTATAAAAGGGAAACATGAATTTCTCCGCTATTTCTTGGAGAAAACATGGCAGGGTGAAACACCAGCAATGACATGTGGGATTGATTACAGCCGTGTTCACATACGTTTTGGGTCTGAGACTTTCTTAAGCACAGCTTGTTCACATCGGTGCCCAGTGAATCCAGCCAAGCACCTGGTTGATGGGTAGAAAGGACAGAGATAAACAGTACTGACATATAACATAGAAGATATGAGACACGTGCACGAACACAAAGACATCCAGTGTACATGCCCAAAACATAGGAAGGATGCACGATATAAGGCTATTGCCAAACACAATGCTTGTTTTTTTAAATGTCCAATTCCAAATAGTTAAACGTATTACCTTTTACAAGTTTGCATGATTTGTTTAAGCTAAGTATTAATGTGATAAGAATAGCTTCCAAATTTTCACGCCTTTTGTTGGGCCGGAAAGAGTTTGCTATTTGGGCATCCTTTTTTCTCTTGCAGATGATGGTTAAAAATTGGAACTTGGAAGCTAAAGGAAAAAATGTGTTAATGTCAAATAAACTGTGTTTAATGATAGGCATCCGACTGACATGAGGTTAGAAACATATCCAAAACAAGTCCAAAACGTTTGGCTTACTGGTGGAGTCAGAAGTGCTACAGTCGGATCCCCCACCTGGACACTATATCCTTACTATACCTTCTACATACTCTCGTACAAGGGAACGCTACTTCCCGCATTGGCACTGAATGATGGTATTTAAGTTAAATTGTAAGGAGCATTTTTGTCCAATACAAATGAAATTCATTGATGACCAAGATAGCCACCCAATTTGTTTTACTGAAGGCAATTTTATGAATATTTATTGTAAAAAATGTAAACATTATTCTATTATTCAAGATTAAGTCTTTTTGACATAATGCCATTCCATTTGGACATTTGCTTTGAATTTGTCCTTATCCGATGAGGTTTTTCAAAGAGATATGGAGGTTTGCTGTCCACCCCACATTATAGAATTTGAGGGAGAGTTCTGTAAGGTTTTCTGGTCCAGATTAAAACATATAGAATAGGGTTAACACGGTCAGCTCATTTAAGATAAATAAGTCAGACTGCTGACACCTACCGCTAACGCAATTATTATTCCCATTTCTATTACCATCAACATTAATGCCCATGATTTCTTCCACAGAGTATTTGTGCTTTCTCGCCTCCCAGTTTTCCATGGATCATGGATCATCATCCTTTTTCAAAAATGAAATACATCATAATCCAACATTACCTGCTTTGCTTCTTTCCTAAAGTCTTTGTGCTTTCCCTCCCCACATGCTTCTGTGGATGGTGGTTCTATCTGATGGTGGCTGTTAATTAACATTTAACATGTACATTTATATTTAACATTTGTATTTATATTTACATTTAGATTATTTAACAACTTTGTGTTACTGCAAAACATTATCCTTGGAAAAGTTATTGCATAAATTTACATGAATGTCTCTCTAAATGTTTGAAAAAGTGACATATGAATTTTGTCGTGCTTTTTTTTCATATGATAATGCTAAATGTACTAAAACTGCGCAGGATTTTAGAACGTGTGACATTTTACAAACGGCAACCCATATTGGGATGGTGGGTTTCATTTACATGTTTTCAATTTTACCAGGCATACATTGGACACTATTTTAGCCTTTTTTAAGTAGATTGCAGTCAGTGATCTCTTGCACTCAGAGAGGCTCATTTAACCTACACAGACCAATCAGCAGTGCTGTAAGTACGTAACTGGCCAACAGCATTGCAGGAGGGCAAGATCTCCCCTCCCTCCCCAGCTGGACACCAATTATCGCAGCCACTACATAAGACAGACTGCAGCACAAGGAAAGAGAGGTGAGCAGGGAAGAAGGAGAGCAGGAAGCACGGCAGGAGGAAAGTGTACGAGAGGCAAAGAGAGCACCTGGAGAAGTGACCACAGATGGGAGGATGTGAGAATGATAGGCGGTGTTGTCCATGAAGGCCGGAGCGACAAGTGACTACACCAGAGGCACCAGCTGGACCCTGATGAAACCTCCTGGTAGCAGGCTTTTTACCTGGTGTCAAACTGTTTTTTAGTAGATCCTTTTTTGGCTGGACTTTCACAATATAATTGCAGGTTTATGGGTTTTAGCTTATAAATAAACCCCATTTATGTCTTGCGGATCCATGCTGCTCCCTCCCCTGCTCTTTTTATGGAGACCTAGACTCTCAAAACTAGGTGATGATGTTTGAAACCTTTTAGTTTCGATTTGTGTCATTGCATTATTGCCCCATTGCAGGGCTGACACACAGAATTGACAGATGTATTTAGTGATTTGTATATAAATGACTCCAAAAATAATTCAGAATGCACAGCAAACTACATCATTAATCATTTTAGACAAAATCAAATATAAAAAATAAATATTCCCCTTGCATAAATGTTTTGTTTTTCAAATGAATCTATTTGCGATCCACAACTACCTTTTAAATGGATTTAAAAATTTCCCGAACTCAAGAACTCTGGATGTTGCATTTATAATTACAACTGGTATTGAACTGATATTTACCAGCTGCTTGTAATGTTAACTTTTTCACTGCATTTATTTATAAAAAACAAAGAGATCAAAACCCCATAAGGAAAGATTACTGTTACCAAAGCTAATTCCTTAAATGAGATGGGAAATTTAAATGCTAACTTAAACATCCTTATTAGATTGGCCATCATTCATCCATCCATCTTCAACCGCTTATCCAGGGTCAGGTCGCTGGGGCAGCTCCAGCAGTGGACCCCAATCTTCCCTTCCGGGCCACATCTACCAGCTCTGACCCGGGGCTCCCAAAGTGTTCCCAGGCCAGTGCAGAGATATAATCTCTCCACCTAGTCCTGGGTCTTCCCCGGGGCCTCTTCCCAGCTGGCCGTGCATGGAACACCTCCCTAGGGAAGCGCCCAGGGGGCATCCTTACCAGAGCCCAAACCACCTCAACTGGCTCCTTTCAACGCGAAGGAGCAGCGGCTCTACTCAAAGCTCCTCACGAATGGCTGAGCTTCTCATCCTATCTCTAATGGCGCGTTTCCACCGAACGGTATGGTACGGGTCGGGTCGGTACGGGTCGGGTCTGTTAATCATGATTTGGCGAGCGTTTCCACCGCCAACAGTACCCTTACTTGATAGGCGTGGTATATGACGGAAAGTAGATTGACGTCATTCGATCGCGCGAAAACTGAAAGCTAACCGCAAACAACGGAGGACATACAGCCGATCCTGTTCTTGCTTCTCGATATGTGGCTGTTTGTCACAAGGAGACGACAATCTTTGTTTAAGCAAAGGCTACATGCTGCAAGGAAAAACACACTTGTGGCACGCGCAAATGACAACACTCTTTCAACCAATCAACGTTCTGCAGTGAGTCTAGCTCCACCCTTTAGTACCAAACAACTGTGCCAGGTACCCCAATGAAAGGGTACCCAAAAAGTGGAACGGTACGGTTCGGATTACGGTTCGGATTTTTGGTACCATTATCAACTTTTGGCAGTGGAGACACAAATAAAAGGGTACCGACCCGACCCGTACCGTACCGTACCGCTCGGTGGAAACGCGCCAAAAGGGAGACGCCAGCTACTCTCGTGAGGAAATCGATTTCGGCCGTGTGTACCCGAGACCTAGCTCTTTCGGATTACCCATCCTGTATGACCATAGGTGAGGGTAGGAACAAAGATTGACCGGTAGACCACCACTCTGGTTCAATGTCCCCTACCTTCACAGGAATGTGAGAGAAGCTCCACCGGAGGTGTGAGTTGAAAATCTTTTGCCCGGGCCTCCTCCAGAAGTTCCCAGTTCACCCGCACTACACGCTTGGGTTTACCAGGTCTGTCCTGAGTCTCCTCCCATCCTCGGACCCAGCTCACCACCAGATGGTGATCATTTGATAGCTCTGCCCCTCTCTTTACCCAGGTGTCCAGAACATGTGGCCTCAGGGCGACTGTGGGTGAGTGGGGAGCACGGTCCTCCTCCAATCAGAGGGTTGTCGGTTCGATCCCAGGCCCAGCTAACCCGCATGCCGTTGTGTCCTTGGGCAAGACACTTAACCCAACATTGCTCCTGTAGCTGCGACTACAGTGTGTGAATACTGATGGCAGGTGTCACTGTGTATGGTTCTCCTGTCATCAGTGTATGAATGGGTGTGAATGGGTGAATGATGTCATGTAGTGTTAAAGCGCTTTGAGTGGTCAGAAGACTAGAAAAGCACTATACCATTTACCATTCAGATCAGACGATATGATTACAAAATTGATCATCGATCTTTGGCCTAGGGTGTTCTGGTACCACGTACACCTATGAACATCCTTATGTTCGAACATGGTGTTTGTTATGGACAATCCGTGACTGGCACAGAAGTCCAATAACCAACAGGTCAGATCAGGGCGGCCATTCCTCCAAATCATGCCTCTTCAGTTATCTCCATCATCTCCCACGTGGGCATTGAAGTCTATTAGGACTATGGAGTCCCCTACGGGAGCTCCATGCAGGACTCCATTCAGGGTCTCCAAAAAGGCTGAATACTCCAAGCTGCTGTTTGGTGCATATGCACAGACAACAGTCAGATTTCTCCCCCTCACCACCTGAAAGCGTAGGGAGGCGACCCTTTTGTCCACCGGGGTAAACTGCAATGTAGCAGCACACCTACCTGGCACCTCACCCCATGAGCCACTCCAAAGTAGAGTAGTGTCCATCCCCTATATAGGAGTGTGGTTCCAGAGGAGGAGGTAAGCCCCACCAGATCCAACTAATAACGGTCCATCTCTCGCACAAGCTCCGGCTCATTTCCCCCCAGAGAGGTTACGTTCCACGTCTCCAGAGCCAGCATCTGCTGGCCAGGTCTGTTCCGTCCAGACCCCCCACTGCCACCCTTGTAGCAGTGCACCCGACCCCATCCTTTCCTCTTCCGCTTTTTCATAGGGTCTTTTGAACCATTCTTAGTCTGGCCCCTCGCCTGAGACCACTTTGCTTAGGCTACACCAAGCTGCTGTCTCTCTAGAATTTACATCTCATTAATGCACATCACTAATTCAGCTTCAGTTTTTGTGCTTTCTCGCCTCGCAGGTTTCAATGGTTACATCTGGACCCTGGTCCTGCCATGGCCCTGCTGACACCTACTGCTTTTTACGCTTTTATTAGTCACCATTACTTTTGCTGTCAACATTAATGCCCATAAAATTGGTGGTTCTATCTGGACCTTGTTCCTGATTCCTGCCATGATCCTGCTGACAATTGTTGCTGCTATCACTATCATGCCTAATCGTAATCACATTACTTTGAAGTTAACAAACACAGGGCCGTCTCTCTTTGGCAAAATACTTGAGCAAGCTATCTTTAACAAACTCTCCTCCTGTCTTGACCATAACAGCCTTCATGACCCTCCCCATTCAGGCTTTAAGGCAGGCCCCTCAACAGAGACTGCACTCCTTGCTGTCTCGTAGCAACTCCACACTGCCAAAGCAGCCTCTCTTTACCTTCTGCATTTGGCACGGTGAACCATACGATTCTTATTTTCTCCCTTCAGGAACTGGGTGTCAGGCTCTGCTCTCATTCTACCTCAACGGCCGCACATATTGGGTAACTTGAAGAGGATCTGTGTCTGTGTCCATGGCTCTTTCATCCAATTACAGGGCTTCTTCTACTATAGCTATGCTGATGACACTGAACTAATCCTGTCTTTTCCCAAATGGGAGACACAGGTAGCAGCACAAAACTCTGCCTGTTTGACGGACATCTCTCAGTGGATCGCCGCACACCACCGAAAATGGACTTTGAAAAGACTGAAATTCTTTTTTTAACTCCCTCCTAGCAAGTCTACCTGCCAGCGTCACCGACCTCTGCAACTCATCTTATTTAACCTACCTAAATTCACCCACACTACTCCGCTCCCTTCACTGTTTACCAGTGGCTGCCAGCATCTGTTTCCAAATATAGGTACGTGCGGCCAAGTCTCAGTGGTCTCTGTGGTTACCCATGGTTAAACATGATAAACCCTAGGGTTTAATCTGTCTGTGGGGCATACACAGTGTCTATACTAGTATAGTGTCTATACTAGTATAGACACTCTGTCTGCCCCTATAGTGTCTATACTAGTACAACACTGTGTCGGACCCGCGGCCAAAATAACAAAACAATGCAACAGTGCAAAAAAATGGGAGATTAAAGGTGGAACATATTTAATGTCTGTCATCTGTAAATATATTAGTAAATTCATTAACATTCAATAATCATGGTGATCCATTTCGTCTTACTGAAATGTGGCTGTAGAAAATAATGTCAGCTTCAATGAATCAACTTCATCAAAGTCCTGTTGACTCATATTCATCAACGCACAGGCTGAATAGGTGGAGAGCAGCTATTTTGTACTTTAGCCTTTTAATGAACCTTAAACTGGATTATAATTAATTTGAAAACATCATTCTTTCGATGTGAATGAATTCTATTTGCATTGCCATCTTATCAAGTTTAGTCCTTAAAACGGACAAAGTAGTTGTGGTTGATTTTAATATTCATATGGATGTCAATAACTGTTGCCTTGGTACTGCATTTATCTCATTGTTTGATTTGATTCTCTTTGGTCAGCGTGTAAAGAGACCTTGACCTTGTTTTATTAAATGTTTTAATAAAACCATCAACCTGGTTCTGGTGTATGGCCGAAAAACTTTATGAAAGTGATTCCTTCTGTTTTTAGTTCAGCATTGTGTCTTGATCTGAGGACTCCTGTGAAAACTTTAGTCTGTGCCGGATAAATCATCATGTCGATAGGTACCTGCTAAAGTTAACTGCCATAACTTTAGCATTTATGCCGTTCCACCAATTTAGAAGAATCCAGGTTAGTTTGGCAAGACAGTCTTAAAGAATATAAGAAACCCCTCCGTAATGCACGAACAGCTCATTACTTATGAATAGAAAAATAGAAAAACAAATGTAATTGTAATGTACTCTTGAGCCAAAAGTATTGGCTAACTGTAGACTTATCTTAATCTTCCCTTACACTCTAAGATCCTTAATAAGGCAGGCAAATCAGTTAACAATGGTTTCAGTCAGGATTTGCATGAGTGCCTCATAGCACAGAAACGGCACAGGTGAATATTGAATGACCTTCTCCTTGCAACCGACAAAGGACTTGTCTTTGTCTTTTTCGACCGTAGTTCTGCGTTTGACACTTATTGATTATTGCAGCCTTTGTAGGGAATGAACATTCAATTGGTACAAGTGTAATAAACTTTTATTAAAGAAACCGCTTATATTTTTCTGCTCAATCCCAGTTTGTGTTTGTAAACGGGGAAACCTTAGTGACTACCAATGTTGGTCACAGAGTCCCACAAGGTTCTGTGCTTGGCTCTTTGTTATTTACCCTTCATATGCAATGTCATCAGAAAACAACTTTCATTGTTATGCAGACAATAGCAAATCTATTGATCAAGCCGGGCGTAACCAGCCAGCTCGTTACAATTTCGACTTTCTATCCCTTCAATTTTTTTTTGTTTGTCTTCTATAGTTCACAGATAATAGAAATACATAAAAACATAAAATAATAGTCTGCTAAGTACATTACCTCCACTCTGTCCCTGCTACATGGACAAACAGACTGAGGCGTTTTAAATTAGTTTATAGAAAGATTGGAGGGCTTTTTGATTGGAGGGCTTTGACCCAAATGTCTGAAAACATTGCTGCGTGTTTTTATACCACAAGTGTTATCTGTTGACAAATAACCACAAAATTCCTGATCCCAACACAGACGTAGAGTTATAATGAATTATACATTATAGCTTGTAGCGGATAGCATGAATCACAGTAACTACTTTGTTGGCTAGGCTATTCAGCCATAGGAAAACTTGGAGTTGGTATTATAACCTACTGTCATACCTGCAAAGAAACTTTGTGCTGCCTGGCGTGATCTCAAGGGTGAAGCACTCCCCTCCATTAACACAGTAGTTCCTCTGTCTGTGACTGCAGCGTGTCACATGACTGGAGGTTTTCGCTGTAGTGGTGCTGCTGGTGGCAGCTGCAGAAGATAACCGGAATTAGTGTGGCAAGAAAACACAAAATGTAACATCAAAATGTTCATGAAAACACTGCAAAACACTGTCACTTGACCATTCATTTATACAATACAACCACTCGCATTTGTCACTTGCAAAGGCTCTGTTAATTTGTCTTTTCAAAACCCTTTACAAAAATGCACGTATTTTGAGCATTTATTATATAGGAACATTGTCGATCTCGGCACATCAAAGAGAGTACTCCACGCCCAGAACCCAGTGGCACGCTGCTACAAACAAAGCAGCCATTTTGATCTCATGTCTGATGAAGTACGAAGATTCATCAGACTTGTAAGCTATTTGCAAGGCAATCAATTTCCTGCAGCAAAGAGGGAAGACATAGAGACCAAATACTCTTAATGTGAATACTGTATTTGTGTACTTTTGGTGAACACAGCAACATAATACATCCTAAACTAAATAAAATTGACCACTGTGAGTAAAACCAAAATGGAAGTTAAAACTCAATTTACAGTCGCTACTTTTCCGTTTAACCTGCTAAAATGTTTCATCTGTTTGAATTTCGAAAAATATGTTGGCTACCTGTGGCAATTCAATATCATTTCATTCACTCACATTTACCAACCATCATTCTCTCATCGCATGAGAAATTTTAGTTTTGGTAGTATCGCCTTACTTCCTGCACATGATCATCCCAGGAGATGAGTGGAGTCACTTCAGCTCAGAAAAGTTTTTATCTGTTAGAATACGTGGAATAGTTAGGGAAAAGGGTAAAAACAGAAAAGGCCAATAAAACAACCCTTATTTGATGTGTTATGTTCTTTCAGTCCCCTTGGAATGCAGTATATTGTTGAAGGTGAAAACTCAATATAACACTGGTTTCATCAGTCTTGTGTGGTGTGTGTAAGTGCAAAACATGGAATGGTGGAAACTACCACTAGAGGGAGATAAGTAGAATAGCATACAACAACACAGACCCAATCTTCTATTTTGCAGTGGGCCTTTTGCTGTCCCTACTCCTCTCTCTACTTTCCTACGTATTTGTTATGGCAGACTTTCTCATATGTACTCGCATAGCAAAAATGAACGACTCCACCCAATTCGTTTTTTTTATTCATTAGACAACATAAATTATATATTTCAGAAGAAATGATCCATTGAATTTGTTTTTCGATGTAGGTAATATGACTCGAGGCAACCTAAATACCAGCAAAGCATTTCCGGTTGGGTAAGGTTGGCATGACAAGGCAACAGGCCAGGCGCTAACCTCTATGTTTATAAAGTGAAGCCAATGCTGTATTATTACCCTTTACTGTCCTTACTAAGAAAAAAGTAGTGGAAATAATTTCTTTGCCATCTGTGTCTGTTCTCTCCGGGTACATTTGGTAGAGTAGCTACCATATGTATATCTCAGTCATTTAAAAAAGCTGCAGCTAAGTAAAGTAAAGTACTTCTACTTTGTTATATTTCACTATTGTGAAATGTAGTGAAATGGGTGTGAATGGGTGAATGATGTCATGTAGTGTTAAAGCGCTTTGAGTGGTCGGAAGACTAGAAAAGCACAGGCCATTTACCATTTACCATTAGTACATTTATAACAGTTTTACAACTCTATACACACACTAACACATGCACACGGACGGAATAAAATAGGACCATCACTGTGGAGATCAATCAGCGACTGTGTGCACTGGTGCGTCCTGCTGAACTGACTCCCGGCGGTGGCACAGGTGAGTCAGCGGCACTGGACGGAGGTGCTGTGTGTGTGGAGACTGGGGCTGTAGGCTCCAGTGATGCAGGGATTAGGGCTGCACTGGAGGGAGCCTCTGACCTGGGCTCTGAAGAGGGCCCTGCGCTCTGGGAGTGGAGAGGGCTGTGACAGCGAAAGGATCCGGCCAGACGGGGCATTTGTCTGGCGCTATTATGAGCCGCTTAGGGCGGGAGTTATCGGGTCGAACCCTGCCCTCACTGTGGGGGGGATAAGTATGCCTGCTGGTGCTATGGGCACTAACTTGCCTTGTTAAAATGCTTCTTCGGCTGTTTTCACACAACTGTCGTGGCCTGCGTGTGGGCCAGAATGCAGGGGATAAAGCTTGGCGCATGGTGGTTGACAACCTTTTGGAGAACTGTGAGATCTTATGGATGCAAGAGACATTCTTAGCAAAGCAAGATTTGGAAAAACTGAACTCTCTCCATGATAACTGTCATGGGGCTGGAGAGTCTACAACTGACCCTGGCACGGGAATAGTCTGAGGAAGGATACCGACTATTTTATGGAATAAAAAGCTTGACTCACTTAAAGTGATCAGGCTTGGTGTTGACTGGTCCATTGGAATACAGTTTACTCACAATGATGAGGAATTCATCATCCTAAATGTCTATACACCCTATGAGTGTCATCACAATGAGGATGAATATCTAAATAGGCTTGCCTTCATCGGCCTAAGATAATACCTCCTCTTGTATCTATGTCTTTGGGGATATGAATGCAGATACCTCAGACTACTGCTCATTATTTGCCAATCGCATGGCTCAGTTCTGTAAAGATAATCATTTGATACTGTCAAGCGCAGTGCTTCTGCCTACAGACAGCTATACATGCATTAGTGAGGCCTGGCACACTATGTCATGGCTGGACCATTGTATAAGTACAGCTGATGCACATGCCTCATTGGGATGTATGGGCATTCTTTATTGGGCAGCAACAACTGATCATATACCTTTTTCTTTGTCAATAAATGTTGAAGACCTCCCGGAACTAGCAATAGAAAAAGTGACGGAGAAAAACTAAACTGGTCAGCTCTCACAAAGGAGGATATTTTAGCCTATTATGCTCGCACAGATAAATCTGTAAGTAATATTTATCTAGCTAGAGTTGCAACTATGTATACTGATGTTGACTGTAAGGGTGTGGAGCATAGGAGAGATCTCTGCTCCATGTATAATGATTTAGTCAGTGCTTTGTATGAAGGCAGTAAGCCCCACTACAAGCATAAAAATAAGATCCATAACATCAGATCTGGCTGGAACGAGTATGTTCCAGCCATATATGCTGAGTACCGCACTGAAGCCTATGAAGCTTTTAAATCATGGGCTATCGCAGGGAGACCGAGACAAGGTACCTTATTTAACTGTATTAGTGCGGACCTATACAAGGTGGAAGATAATGAGACGAATATGTCAATGACGATTATGTCACAAGAGGTGTACCAAGCTGTAAATAAGGTGGATGACGGCAAAGCAAGTGGTTCTAGACCATATTAATGCTGAACATCTTAAATATGCTAGTCCGAGGACAGCTCCTCTTCTTGCCATCTGTTTTACCGGCCTCATGACTCATGGCTTGTAACCAGACTCAATGCTGTCTGTTCTGTTAGTGCCGGTTATTAAAAACAATGCTGGTAAAGTAGGTAGCCTAGATAATTACAGACCCATTGCTTTGACCAGAATTCTGTCAAAAGTCCTGGAAATAATCCTAATGGACAGATTAAATGAGTGTATTCACTCCTCAGATAACCAGTTTGGCTTTAAAGCCAAACATGGCACTGACCTGAGCATATATGCCTTATAGGAAATTGTCAACAAATATAGAGGTCAAAACTCATCCATTCTCATGTGCTTTATTGATGCCTCGAAAGCTTTTGACCGTGTTAATCATGGAAAATAGTTTAAAAAATTGATTCAAAGAGGTGCCCCCAAACACATTGTGAGAATTCTGGCTTACTGGTATGCCCACCAGACAATGCAAGTAAAATGGGGCCAAAGTGTCTCTGCCCCATTTGGGGTCAGCAATGGTGACAGGGAGGGATTTTGTCCCCAGTTATATTTAATCTATATATTGATGATCTTTCCAAGCAGTTGAAAGCCTGTAATACTGGGTGCATGATTGGTAACACCTTAATTAATCATATTATGTATGCAGATGATCTTGTAATTTTTAGCCCAAGTAGTTCAGGTCTCCAGCAGCTCCTTACTATATGCACTGTCTATGGTGTGGAACATCATCTAAAATACAATGCGAGTAAGAGTGCTATCTTAATTTGTAGAACAAAAGAGGACAGAATTCTAAAATTCCATAATTTTAAATTGTCTGATAACTACCTCATTGCCTGTGATAAGGTAAAATATCCTGGATACTTCATAACAGAACAGATAAACGATGGTGATGATATCTATAGGCAATGTCCTAAGATGTATGCACAAGCTAACATTCTTTCGCGCAAATGTGTACGGATGGAGTGAAGATGTCTCCATTTAGAGCTTATTGTAGACCACCCTATACTGCACACTTGTGGTCCAATTCTAAAAAAGCAAGTCTACAGAGACTCCAAGTAGCTTATTGTGATGCCAGGCGAATATTACTAAAGAGACCGAGATGGTGTAGTGCCAGTGAAATGTTTGTGACTGCGGTAGTGGATACTTTCAAAGCTGTATTAAGTAATCTTATGTATAAATTTATCTGCCGGGTTAACATCTCTGAAAATGTAATCATCTTGGGTTTGTCAAGTATAAAGTTTAGCACTTCTCACTATCAGTCCCAGCTGTGGAGACATTGGTACAGTTGTCTGTTCATAAGGCCTTTGTAGGTCTATGTACTCTGCTTGTGACCTTGCTTGCATTTTTTTATCTTTATATATGTGTTTGCTGTTTTGTGCTATCTGGACATTGAGTCTGAAATAAAAGTTGATTGATAGGCCTAATTCAAGCCCCTTAACCCACCATGACTATGTGCTAGTATGCACATTCACTGAGGCATTGGTTGGAAACCAACCGACGTTCATTGCTTTCATCTTACAGTAGCTGTCCCAGAAACACGTGAGTGCATCTGCAGCAGACATGTCATAGTTCCGAGCCGCTTTCAGACAGATAGTATTAGTGGGTGGTTTTTCCCTGCGCGTGGAGGGATGGAGGGGGCATCAATTACCCTTCAGCAAGCTCTGACCTTGAAATGGAGTACAGACAGAAGACAGGAAGTCTCCCGGTACCACAGCCTGCAGTTCCCGTTTGTGTCCTTCATCATTTATTGATTTTCCCTTTTTCATGCGACTGAATATGCAGGCGGACACATTTTAAGGATCTTCAATATTGTATGCCGCCTACCAAATAATACATTTTAAATAACACCTTAGCAACGTCAATTCAATTTAGGAAGAAATATCCTGTGGTTTAATTTGATAGATCAATAATACTAGAGGAGGGAGTGAATGTTAGAAATGATCAATTTGACCACTAACGGGGTAAAGCATGTTTGCAATGTTTCAGAGGCTTAGTCATTGGCCTCTATGCTACACTCTGCAAGTCACAACGCGTCTGCTTTCAGGCAAAGTGAGTGAGTTTTTCTGGCGCAGTTAAAAAACAGCACCCTTTACAAAGTCAGTGATAAAACAGATACAAAAACGACCAACATTCAAATTATTTTTATAAAATAACAGAGCTTCTTGCGAGATAAAAATCATAGTCCAAGGTTATGCAGGATTCCAGCTTCTAACCCTGTGCGAATAAATATATCCTATATCCTGATATTGGAGACAAGTTTTGAAACAAGGCACCTCCTGACATCCTGAATAAGCTTTCACAGAACAGTGTTGGGTACTCACATATTGTTGGGATGATGATGTCGTTTAATTCCTGTGATGTCTGAGGGTGGGGAGTCTGTTTTTGGATGGTTGGACGTTCAGCGTTGTATTTCAATGTAACAGAGGGATCAGAGAGAGTCAATCTGGGCGACTGAGGCATGTACGGCCCTTGAGTAGATTTCTTTTCCCTTAAATCATCAGGACGTCCTGGAGTAATGGCGGTGGTCAAGGAGACAAAAGACGGACTTGAATGAGGAATGGACATAGTTAGTCCCAGTGTGGGGGAAACTGATATGATAATTGGGTCCTGTCCAATGCGTTTAGGATCTAAGTGTGTGGGTGGCTCGTACTGAAAGATCTTATCCACGAAGACCCATTTGAGGCCAGCTGTGCATAGGGCTAAGCTCAGCAGACAGGCCAGGATGGGAAGAATGCAGATTTTCTCAGAGTGCAGGCAATTGTTAATCTGTTCCATCTCCATACACACACAGCAGCTCCCTGGCACAGCCACTATTCCCAAAGCTCCTAAATGCTCCCCGTCGCCACCACCACCACCTCCCTCTATGCTCTCCTCCCCACTCTCCTGGCCAGCTGCTGCTGTCTCCTTGGGTTTCTCCTCTGGGACTTGTCCAGTATCAACAGTGGACCTTGTCGGGGTGACCGATCCAGCAAGATTAGCTGGCCCAGCAGAGAAGTCCTCCATTCCCTCAGTCATCCTTTCCAACTGCTGGTTGAAGGATATCTGAGCAACTCAGCTATTAACTCAGATCATACAATGGCTGTCTACCACCAGTCTCCTCGGGTATGTTTTCCATCATGAGGCTGTAGTCGGAGCCGGGATTTCAGGAGAAAGTGCAAATGCTCTTCAGAGTGAGTCAAAGCGTTTTTTAACAGTCTCCAAGGGATGTAGAAAGCCTTCTGCGCAAGAGGGGAAGGAACTCCTTACTCATGTTTCCTCACAGGAAACGCAAAAATAGAATAGAATACTCAAATTGTCTGCAGACAAAAATTAAAAAAAGATTTTCAAAGGATTTTATTCCTTGAATGTTTCGGGATGGTCTACAAACAGTAGCACTCACTCACCAGGAGAGGCGGTGGTGCCGTGATGGGCCAGCTGCAGTAGCTGTAGTGCAGAGAAAAGGATGGCCGGGCACTGCAGTGGCAGGAGGGACATGCTGTCTTGTCTGTGGAGCTCCAAGTAGCTGAAAGGCTGAATCATCAGGGAGCGGCAGGTGCCCTTCCTCTTAGCCAGCCATAGAAACAGATGAGTAAGGGAAAAGAGAGAAAGAAAATCATAGAGGGGAGGGCTGCAGCAGCAGAGAAGGGACACTCCCCTTTTTCTTCTCTCACCCCTCCTCTCTCAGTCTTTGCTTTCCAAGTGGTGAGCAGGACAGCCTTTGGCCTCCTTCCTCTCTGCCTCTCTTCCTGTCTGGTGGTGTCTGTGCCCTCTTTGCAGGCTGCTCCCAATCCCAGCACAAAGCATGCAGCTAAGCAAGTCCCCACTTGATCCAATTAGAGTGCATGTCAGCAAATCCCCGAGAGGCAAACCAAGAACCACCCCCTCCAGCGCCACTCCCCATTGATTATGCTGATACTAAAGGGTGTGTTTTTTGTCAAGGGAAAGGAGATGGTGAAGCAGACATATGATCCACCCCAAGGGGATGAAGCCATTGTGTTCTACTCTTCTCAAGTATCTGCATTCATTAGTGTAATAACATAATAATAATGATGGGGATATATATATATATATATATATATATATATATATATATATATATATATATATATATATATATACATATATAAAAACAGATGAGGGTAGAAATGTCTTCATCTGTGCCATGATTTAACTCCCTATAGCCAATTATCCCTGCTGGGGGATATTTTATATTTTGAGAATGCAATAGGGGCTGTCTAGTGGGACATTGGCTTGTTTTTTGTTTTAAATATATTCCAAGATATACCAAGAAATTACTAAAATACAGATCAGGCCCAGTAATTTGAGCTGATGAAACATAACTTAATTCATACAATAATACTATAAGAGCACTCAGTCATACTTTATTTTGCTGTCTAATTTGTCAGATATACATAGTAAACTGGGGACATTGATCACATTGAACAGAACAATTTCTTTAATAGCATGCAAGTGTGACAGAAGGCCCCCAGAACGGCAATAAACTATTAACTGCCCAACTCCCCACCAAATGGGCTAATACAGTGGTTCCCACACGTTTTCTGCCAGGGCCCCCTTTGAGGATATAGGGACAAGACCTCCAACAGGGACCAATGCAAAGCATATATTTCGAAGTTTTTTAAACTTCAAACCATTTTTTTGCGTTTTTTTGCTGTCTTTCTGTCTCACTATCCCCCTCTCTCTCCATCCCTTTCTCTTTCTCGCCCTCTGCCTCCCTTTTTGATGCGCTTGTAACCTGAGCTGCACTGTGGGGGCGTGGTCTGAACACAACGCATGTCAAGTCCTCATGTTGGTGTAGTTTAGTTTTTTATCGTGGTGCCTGTTTGTTAGGGTTGATGATGAAGCTCCCCCCCAGTTTGGGAACCACTGGGCTAGTAGGCTGGAAGGACAATCCGAATGCCCAACCCCCCACCAAATGGGCTAATAGGCTGGAAGGACAATCCAAAGTCTCCTTGAGGAGTCAGGGATTAAACAAGATGAAGACAGTCGCAAAGGTCAGGTCAGCCCCACACTGATCATTGACATTGCTGTGACCCTTTCCCCTCCGTGGACAGAATTAATACCAGTAATGGTATCCGAGGGAGAAGACTTCCTGTCAGGCCCTGAATTAGGGACCTGCATTGATTATCTTCTCAGCATTTTCATCCTGTATGAAGGCTTAAACAGTGACCGAAGAAAAGGATGAATAAATGAGCATGAGTTATTCAAAAAATAGATTGACTTGCAAAATAAATATTCAAAAAATGCAGTGGTTATCAATTACTATATTTCCACAGTTACTCATTTGTACACTTATTTACACATGTATGATCTCCCCTGGCTCTCGTATGTCCTGGGAGTAAATTTCTCATATATATATTTTTTTCAAACCAAGAAACTCAACTTTTTGCTACCAATAGAAAAATAATATGAGTAGAATGAACATTGAACTGTTTGCTGTGTTCATTTGTCAAACCGGCTGCTGTATTGAGACAAAGATAATGTCTGTATCTGCAGGAATAACTACATGGCAGGACTAAACACACATGCACAAGATGCCGACTCTGTATACTTTGTTTCAGAATGAGTGAAGCGAGTCAGATTAGATGGATGTGGCCAGCTTCAATTTTTGCAATTGTAATCATCAAAAAGGCCGAAGCTGTGACTGACCGTAATGATGGTTTAAATTAGAATTTCTATTGTACGCTCATACTATTTCTATGATGCCCCCATTGTGGTTGATCGCTTAAACAGCTTAAAAAAAGGCTGTTCAGTCAATCAGAGCCATGATAATTTTGTGAAACACCACCCCTCATCAGGAGCGATAAACATGTGGCAATAAATGCATGAACATTAATGTAAACCTTATCTACAAAGACGGAAACAAAAAATAATATAAATACATACTGTATTATTATTCATTATTTTTCCTGAAATAACCTATTTATCTTTTTTTTTTTTTTTTTTAAGTAATCATGCTCATGTATAAATCTCATTGTCACTTTTACGACCCTGAATTTAAGCACTGCTTCGTTTAAGAGAAATCACTTATCACAAGAGCAAACAAAGCACATAGACAATGGTTTATGGGGCTCTGGGGTGAGCTTCATTTAAGTAGAAGCTAAATTTAAAAACTTTGGTTTTTTGAATTGAAGAGGAAGATCTTTTTGACTTACTATTTCCTGTATTTGTTTGCGTAGTAAAATACTTGGATGAGGAACGTTAATTAAGTTTCTACAACAGAACCAAACTAGACCATGGCTTTTCTTGAAACAGCAAATGTTTGAACAAAGATTAGAACAAAAAAGGTGTTACAGTGTTTACGTTTGCTATGCGAAATCAAGAGGAGCACTTGTGTGTATTACATTTGATTACATCACATTATATTAATTTAGCTGACACTTTTATTTAAAAGGAACTGGAATAAATTAATTCAGCCATGTGGTCACACCCACAGCAGTGTACAAATCATAAAAATCTCAGCAGTTTCATTAAAGACGCTGATTTACTTGTGTCACATTTAGAGACCTCCAACACGAGATGGAGATAGAGTAAATTATTTATTTTTCTTTTACCTTATAAGCCACAGTTGAGGATAGGTTTACAGTTTCTCCTGTGCTTTTCTGCTGAGTTTATTTCATCACTGTGGAGCCAGGAAAGCAAACAGTTATAGGGTGTTTTGACCGAGCGCTGGGCCCCCTAGAGGGAACACTACAGCAGCAGAGGACGGGCTGCCGTTTCACCATATCTTGGATGTAGGATGGGCCGGAGCCAATTAACAGGATAGCCGTTGATTCATCCAAAATGAACAGTCCCCCGGAGATTGTTAGGAGGGAGATTTGACCCAACACACAGAGATCACACAGGATTGATAATCTGTAGAAGGGATTTTAATGACTGGGGATTTCAATGGAAGGGGAAAGCCGGGTGAGGACGCCAGAGGGACGGAGGCAGGTGGCACGGCAGGTCAGAGCGGGGACAGCGGAATCTCGACAGAGGAATCAGGGTTAGACAACAAGAACAGTAGGAACACTCAAAGCCTTGCGCGCCAGGCTACGAAGTCGAGTTACCACGCGGGGGTGAGTAACGATCTGGCGCTGGAGAAGCGGACAGCCCAGGTCTAAATACTGCAGGGGTGCATTGTGGAATGAAGATCAGCTGTGTGGGGATGTTCAGGATGACTGGCCACGCCTCTTGTAGGTGGAGACAAACAGCACAGACAGACACACCGGGGAAAAGGAAGGCACAAACATACAGGATGGGGAGAAAACCGCAGCTGACCCATAACAGAGATATTGCAGGGTGTTGAAGCGATGCATTGTGAAAGAAAAGGCTGCATTCTGGATTAGCTTTAGCGGTCAAACTTTACATGTAGCCATACAAACCAGGAGTAAATTGCAGAATTCTATGCGTGTTCTGATTACAGAAGAGTCATGTAAGAAGATAATTTGATGGTGTCATTAAAGAACAAAATAAAGGACAATCACAGAAGTGGAAATGTCTCAAGGAATATTTGAACTCAAAACACCAACTAAGAGGACCTAACTTTTGATAAGCAAAAAGGGTCTTTACAGGTGTATCTTGCCGATATTGTGGAGTTTGCTATTGTTAAAATGTTGACAGTGAAGGACAGCTGTTTATCAATTGTCAAACCCAGTTGCTTTGCAGTCTAAGTTGAGGAAACCACAGAGTTAACAATGTAATGTAGAGATCACTTGTGGGAGAGATCGGTCTTGATTAGGCTGAGCTTCAGGCGGTGCACAGACATCCTGTCACACATTTGACCACATCATAGTTTGTTTTAATGATTGCCATCCTGGTTCTGACCCTGCCTGTCCTCGTCTACGGATTCTCTGCCTGCTCATCTGGATTTGTTTGCCTGCTGACGGATCACCCGGTTTTGACCTTGCCTGAACTTTAAGTAAAGCCACCTGTCTCTCTCATCGTTGTCTGAGTCGTGCTTGGGTTCCTTTGTGCACCAGTTACACATCCACTGATAAATGTAAGCAAGATAGGGAAACTACAGGGTTTAGACAGTGTTCCTGAGGGGAGATGTGAACAGGGAAATTTCAAAACTCACAGTTCTTGGACAATGGGAAGAAGGATTTGGTGTTTCACCAGGTCAAATGCTGCTGAACGGTCTAGCAGGATAGAGAGGAGAAAAAGCTACTCCAGCAGTGCAGTCAAGAAGGTTGTTCTTGACTTTACTCCTGGTGATTTTAGAAGCAGTGGCGGCTTGTCCATAGAGGGCAATGGGGCGTGGTCCCACCATGAGTACCGGAGAAAAAAAAATATATATATACTGTATATATATATTTATACATATATATTTTTTTCTTGTTTATTATATTAAAAGTACATTTCACAAAGTTAATATTTGTGTTTTGAAACGTGGATTATATACCCGGTAATATTTGTAAATTAAGATATCTGCGCAAAATATATGCTTTTCCTGCACGTCCTCTCCGCGGTCCCAAAGGCGGCGGGTCTAAGAAGCAGTTAGCCAATCACTGACAAAGTTCATTTGAAATACATTGAAATTTGGGCGAGTCTCCGACGCGTCATTCAACAACATAACAAGTGTGACCACCGGTGGTGTCCTTCCAAGAAGACCCGACCCAAACTTGGAAGAGAAGAACTTTGCCGGAGAAACGAGAGACGTCTACTCCGTGATGTTTAGCTAGCTAGTTAGCTACATGCTAACACATGACGTCGGCGTGTTAAAGTTAACATTGCTGCCCAGCTGCGACGCACACAGGACCGCGGTGAGGACACGCAACCAGG